CATATTAATATATCTGCACGTAACATGGTAACTCAATTGATAAGTTATGTGTTTCTCTATTCGTAAGAAATGGGTTAAAATTCTCTTACAGTTTCTTCTCATACAAAGTGACTCCTTGTGCTATATATGTTATAAGTCAGTTCTTCTAAAATGTCGACAACATTATCAATCAAAAACATTTCATCACTTAACACAACTACAAGGATAGCATCATAAGCTGGGAGCTCAGAGGCATTCGAGCAGGAAGGCCATGATGCAGATGGCTTTTGTCTCTTGAGTTAATAGAAAGAATCACCTAAAGCTAAAGGTCTCAAACTTAGCAAAGTTTAAGCTATGATGCAGGAGTCAATAATTTCACCACGTGCTCCTAGCTGAAAATTTTCAGAAAAAAAAAAAGAAAAAATTATCAACTCTTCAAAAAGTCAGAAATAACAAGATATATAGTTTTAACAATAGTTGGGCCAAAGTACTAACCATAGAGCTTTTCCTAGTATCAAGACATGGCTCCACAATATATTGTCAAATTTGTGGTTATATATCATTCATTATGAGTAATATTTCATTCCAGTTTAGTACTTCAACTTTCTCTCTTGTCATTCTCAGTGTCTTTCAAACACCAACCCTAGCAAACTCCACTCTGCAAAGAAACCCCTAAGCAACCTCCAATTACAGGGTAATTCATGGTTTTCTGAAGTCTAATGCCCCCAATCCAAAATCTCTAACCATAAGGTAGTTTTCTACAAAGCTCAAGCAGAATCAATAAAATCAGAAATAATTAATATCAACTGCTAGTAGCACAACTTTAGGACAACTTTCATAACTTAAATAACGCATGGACTCTCTACTTGTGGAAACAATAGATTCTATGAAACAACTGGCAAATTCCAGGCCTCTGGTAATCAAGCAAATCCTATTAAATATTAAGCAAATTCCAAGTCTTCTGTAATGTAAAATTACAATTGCAACTTTTTATCACTGTTCTTAAGCCACAAGAAGAAATAGGTACCTCTAGTAGATTAGTACTTCCTGCCATTTAATTGAGTCCTACCTAAACAACTGCATACATAAAGCGATCTGATGAAAATCAATGACCTTCAATACTAGTAGGTTTCCAAAGTTCGTTTTTTTTTAACAGGATAATATTTTGAAGCACAAACTGTATATGAAGCAAGGCTTATTTAAATTTCTATGGCACAACTAAACAACTGACCAACAGTAAAGAAGGAAAACTATAAAAAGAAAAAAGAATGAAGGAAAAACAATGCACACCAGCATATATAAAGAAATAAAAATACAAATTTTTTACTCACATCAATATGAGGCATTCCATAATCGTTATGAAGTTTGAGACTTTCGAAGAAATGTACGGGTGATGATAAGACATTCTTCTTCTACTTCCTTAACACATGCAGAGCAGTCTACGTTGAACTGACTAAGTGACTTTGCAAATATCCTCATACTCAACAGCCTTGAGCACTCTCCCATCATAGATGCCCTTCTCTATCTGCACCTTTGCACAAAACTTCTCTGTATCCACACCCAACAACCTTGCATTTGATCCTCTGTATGCCCCATTTACTATCCTCACCAATTCCCCAATTTGTGGAATAACAGTCTCAAGCTCCTCCTGATGGACTCTCAAAACATGCTTGCTCTCGAGCATCTCAATTTCCCCCACATATTCATCAATAACTTTCCTAACCACCCCCTTCTGCTTATAGTACCCCTTGTCTGCTAATGCCTTGCTCATCACTTTAACTATTATCTCCTCACATAACCAATAATCCTTCCTATTAATTCGTTCCTTTGCTTTCTCCTCCTCCCTCACCAACTCTTCCCAAGCCCTCTTCTTTCCATCTTTAGCACTTTCATTTTTTGCTTCTTCTCCTCATTCTCAGCCTCCTCAAAAACTACCCTAGACTTGGAAGTTTCCACTTTCTCTTTATTATTTATTATTATTTTTTGGTACGTTTGAACCGAGTGAAAACCCAACTTTAACTCCATTCTCTAAATTCAATTCCTTCACAGCAGCAATTTCTGCTTTTTCTCCTTCTCAGCATCAGGATTCAAAGGCATCAACTGCTCAGCCTTTTCAATCTGCTTCTGGATTTCGCGCTCTTTTTTCTCTTCTTCCGACATCTCCATCTTCATTCTCTTGTTCTTCTGCTTTTCCTTAAACACTGTCTCCGAATCACGATCAATAGAGGTAATAAACCACCCTTTTGGGGTTTCTTCTACCTTACACTCGCCGATGCGGCCCAAGTACTTGACAAACTCGGTGAGGGTGGCCCACTGGGTGGAATTCATGTGGACGTGATGGCGGTCATGATATATTCGTTGTAAACAACGGTGGCAGAGACGAGACTGAAGCTATGGCTACGCTTCATGAGGTCGAGAAAGTTGCGCTCGAACTCCTCAAAGTAGCCGTTGACGATACGATCGGGGTTCTGGCCGAAGACTTGCATCTCACGCTGGTGGGACTCGCTCATACAGTGACACTTGAAACCGTTTGCGTCGCGGCATTGCTTCTGGCACATCTGGCAGTACCAGCGAAGCTTCTGGAGACCCTTGGCTTTGATCCGGTTCGCGATGGCCTTGGGCGTTAGGAATTCGTTCTTCCCCATCGCAATCCGAATTGAAATTCCGAGGGATCAAAGAGGAATTGCCATCTGGAATTGGGGGTGAGGAGAAGAAGAAGAAGAAGAAATAAAAAAAAAAACCCAAGGCTATGGTTTTAGATCTTGACGAGGAAGAGGGTAAATTTAGATCTTTTGCAAAATGTTGGGACTCAAAGATCAATATTGAATTTTAAAATCCTTTTGCTATATGGGCCGTTGTTGGGGCACGGACGGTGAGGGTATGAAGAATGAACCCGGGTGCGCCAAACCAAAGGATCCATACGGCCTGGCACTGAGATTAGCAAATCAAAGTCCAAGAAAATTGAATGATGGGCCGAAAAAAGGTAGAGGCCCAAACAATAG